ACTTTGTTCGGACGTGAGACGTTGTTTTCCCAGACCTCCTCAAACACCCCAACACCTGAGCATTGAACAAACAAAATTTGGTTAATTTTGTTTTCTCAAACCTGACAGCCTACAACCTTGTAGAACACCAATAGGACTGCCCTGTTACCTGTAAAACCTCAATAGGATTACCTTGCTACTTGAGCATTGATTCCCTCATCCCTGTAGAACCTTAGTAGGATTACCCTGTTACTTGAGCATTGATTCCCTCACCCTTGTAGAACCTCAATAGGATTACCCTGTTACTTTAACATTGATTCCCTCATCCTTGTAGAACCCTCATAGGACTACCCTGCTACTTGCATTACTCCCCCTTTCCTTTTCAGACCAGTGACCGGCCCCATCCCGTCCTTCACAATTGTTCATTGGGTCTTTGGCAGCCGGGACGTTGCCTTCCAGAGGGAAGGGCTGGTGTTATGGACTCGGCCAGGGCTCGATCCCTGGTCTGCGGGTTACCACCCGCCAGGCTGCTAATCTATTTTTTCTTGAGTCTCTGATCTCTGGTTCCTGACTGTTGGCGCCCTCTGCAGTTGGCGCCCGTTCTCAAATTCCACCTCTAGCCCTTTTGGATTTTGATACTTGGCGCCATCTGGCATTCTGGCGCCCAGGCTCAGACCTTCGATTTTCAATTGCACTTCTGCCCTCGGACTCAACTTGAGTCCAATACTTAAGACCGGACTCAAGCTGAGTTCCGACATTCAGTCTTCGACCTAAGTGTTCGCGGTTCAGTGTGACTTGCTGCGACATTGTGTTCGGAATCCAAGATTGCGACTTTGAGATTTTGCGACTTCGCCACTTTGTGTCTGCGTCCATCGAGTCGTGTCGAGTCCGTGTCGAGTTGAGTGTGTGTGTGTGTGTGTGTGCTCTCACTCCCTCCCTCTCTCTTCCCAAACCTCGCTGCTCTGCCTCAGCCCCGTCACACCGATGGTTCTCATTGGGGTGACCTGGCTGACCTAGCTAATATGTATGTTTCACCAGTAGGGATTGACTATGAGGCAGTGACTGAATCATCAGAGTTTCGACATCTCAGACGAGGGATCTTCTTCATGTCATATCTTCCTACCCTATGGGAGGAGTTTTGTGCTGTGCTTGACTTCCGAATCTTCGGCATCGGATGGACGTATTCGGGACTCATGGGCTTTAGGTGGCTCTATATTACCAGACCACAATCTCAGGAGGTACATAGACGTGACTCAAGGCACAAGAGACACACGGTCAAATGAGAGACTGAGGATGAGACTGGAGAGGGAGAGCGAGGACTCTTGACAAGTGCTGGTTGTGTCTTTTCATTTGTGCTTCCTGAGATTATTATGCGTTCTCACCTTCCTTCATTCATCATGTTTTTGCCTTGAGTCAGTCTGTCTTGATTCGTTTGCATTGACATCGCTTGAGATTATGCTCTCTAGTGATCTTGTCGCAGTTCTAAACCCCTTAAAATTTGGCAATCATATTAATATATTAAATGCACATGTTGTTCCGAATCACAATTAAAGATTCCTAAGACAGGGAACCGACGTAGATCACAATTGAAGGGTCTTGCTCGAAGCCGAACGCACGCAACAGGAAGGGAATTGCATTATTTTAATTAATTAATTAATTAATTAATTTATTGCAAAAATTAAACAAAATCCTGCGTGACAGCCTGTTGTCTTTTCCGATAGCTGAGAGTGGTCTGATTGCAAAAAGTGTGACAGCGGGAAGCGAGCTTGTGTGGCAAGCAAGAATTAAAAAATGGTCGTGCGTGGTTGCCTGCTGATGCAAAAAAAAATAAAAATGTCGTCATCCAAAATTCATAACCTTTTCTTGAAATTCCCGTGCGGTCGCTAATCGGCCGCGCAAGACCACATTGAACAAGGACAAGGGTAAATCCAAAAGATGCGCACAGATGGCCCTCGGATATTCAAAACGGACCCCATTTCTGTAGTTGGCCAAGATTCGTACTTCGGGTCTTACTTGGGGGTTTAATCCGAAGGGTATGTGAAGCCGCGAGGTACGGACCTTGGCTTATCACAGTATGTGCATCCATATGTTGAGAGTTGCCAGGTTTGTCAGAATTACAAACCACGCATGCAATGTCCTTCGGGACATCCGGTAAAATTGGAACGATACAGAGGAGATTAGCATGGCCCCTGCGCAAGGATGACACGCATAAATCGAGAAATGGTCCAAATAATTWAAAAAAAAAAAAAAAAAAAAAAAAAAAAAAAAAAAACGCATGCAAGGATGTCTAGGATTAACAAAGCTTATTCCTAGTATGAAGGAGCTGGTCACTCTCCAGTCATGGACTTCATTGACACATTAGTGACCACCATGAAAGGAAACAAGCAGATTGTTTTTGTAATAAACATATTTGCATGTTACATATCTCTACCGGCTACAGGTAAGGCAGAGTTGGTCATAAATGAATTGCTAGTCATTGGATTAAAGACTTTGGATTACTGAAAGTTGTGAAAACTATCGGAAGTCAGAGAGGTGTGGTTGAGGGCCTAGCTAAAAAGTTGGGATTAGGACTGAAGATGACTTCAAGTAAGGATTCAGAAGTAAACGGTCAAGCTGAACAGATGAATAAGCAAGTGTGGCAGCTTCTTAGACATTACATTACCCCTCATCCATTTGATATGAGCTTTCACATCTCAAACATTTTGTGTTCTCATTGGATGGTTACTTGCATCTCAGGGTTCATTGTGCGAGGAATGAGCCCCTCACAGTGCCACGAGCCCACAGCAGCTGAGATGTAAGGGCCCCTAGAGCATGTATAGTGCCCGCCCTAAGTGAAGGCGGGCCTACAATTTTCCTCGTGGCTTACACTCACCGAATTTTGCATTTTGGGGCGCCAGACAGTTAGCGGGTGCAAGTTGGTTACAAGGCGCCAGCATGCTGTGAGACCAGGGCATCGTGAGCCTTCCAGGCTTCCCCACACAGCGACGTGGACCAAGGTCTTCGGCCAATCAGAAAGCAGCGGGTGACGAGAACCACTTCGCACAGTTGGGTGTGGCCTAACTGCTCTGGTGTCGGGGCGCTATCTGAATGGGCCTGGGCACAGACACTCTGGCCCGACGCCAGTCTACTGGGAAGTTGGCCTCCAGGCTCAGGCTGCTGAAGCAGGGCTCCATATAGGAAAGTGCCCTGCGCCCAGCCAGGCATTCTGGCTGAAAGCAACTGGTCAACAGCGCTGCCACATTGTCGTGCTGGAGATCGCCCGGGCGCCGGCAGTCAGGGCGCATGCAGGCGCTAGTGGTGGAGGTGGCGCTACAAGTAGGCATCGGGCATTAGGCAGCCGTAGCCAGGCTCGCCTAGAGGTAGCTGGCGATGGTTATGGTGGTCTTCGGGCATTGGGGACACACACTGTGGGGTGAAGGTGATGAGAGGGAGGAAAGAGAGACACATACCTTATGTGTATGCGGTGGTCTGCATTGGCAACTTCATCATGTACATTGGTGTTTGTTCAAAGTGTTTCCTGGTTGCATGTTGTAGTTGTAGGCTAGCATAGGTGCTGAGTAGATGTAGGCGGGTGCTGGGTGCCAGTAGAGAGGAGCAACACTGGATACATTGTTGATGGTGGCGAGATGGGCTAACATTGACATTTGGGTTCATTGCATTGCTCTTATCTAGCTTGTAACTTGGTGCTTATTGCTTTCTGCTTGGTACACGACCATCTGGTCTTCAATGTGATGTTGCAATTTGGTTTTCTGTCTATCGCTCTCGCTCATTTTCCTTGCACTCGGTCCTCACGGGGGAGTGAGATGAGCGAGTTATTGACGTAAGGGATGCACTGGCATAAGTTCTTTAGGGGGGAAAAAAAGAAAAAGGGGTTGGCATCCACATGACAAACAGCGACAGCAGCGAATGGGTCCTGATTCGCTTGGATCCTTCCAGTATTCTTGGTTTCACGCAAATCTGACGGTCCCGGCATGAACGAGATTGAAAGGAGGGAAAGGCCAGCTGACACATAGTCCTCCATGATATGGAGCAGTCAATGCTGTTCAGTGGTTCTTCAGCCTTAGCGAAAGGAAGCGTGGGTATTGTCATATGCTGTATATTTCCATGACTTGCCTGTGATGGTCGCCAGAATGGACATGGGGCCAGTCCACAAGGTCCTTTTTGTTTTTCCTTCTTTGGTCCAGGGGTTCTGGAGTGTGTACCAGTGCAACACTGGCATAGCACTTCGAGGACCAGGTGTCTTTTTTTTTGGGGGGGGGTAAAGGCTAGTAATTCTTTTAAGCCCAACCAATTCAAATCTGGACAGTTTGGCCTTTTAGGATTATCGTATTATGGGGAACCCCGTAGCAGCCATCCCAAGTTCAAGCCTCCAATGAGGGAACATGTGGGGGCTGCACCTGACCACCTGCAGGTAGCATCAGGACCGAGCTTCTCCGATGGGCCAGTTGCTGTGCCTCCCCTCCGGTCCCTCCCCCTATGAACATCAGCAGTCTCTGCTCAACACCGCTCGGGGGAACCAACGGCCTATCTCTAGGTGGTGGGCGCCAAGCTTGCCCAGGAAAGTACATGAGGCCAATGGGGATTGGACCGAAGGCCTCCTGAATGCCACTTGCGTGCCTACCAATGAGCTACTGTCTTCACCCAAATAGAACGCCCAGTCATTATAGCTGTATTTGGCACAACTGTCGGTCCAGCTGCAGCGATAATGACCGGCCGTTCCATTCGGGTAAAGACGGTAGGCCACTGGATCGGGCATTTTCTTGGGATTGAACCCAAGTTTTCTTGTTTTCTTTTTCCCTTCTTTTGTCAAGCCTTTGGACCATTTCTCAATTCTTTTTTTTTTTTGATTTTTCTCAATTTCTGTGTTGTCTGTGTGCAAGGTGCACGTTTATCTTCTCTGTGCTAGAAAGTTTAAACGGACATCCGGAAGGACTTGAGGACCAGAATGACTGACAGGTCACTTTTGTCTGATTTTCTTGCACACTTGATTTTTGTTTTTTGTTTTTTGTTTTTGTTTGCAGATATACCCTGTTGTGCTGGCAAAGGGCATCATGAGGTTCTTTCAAAAATCCTTTGCGGCCTCCAGAGTTCGGTTCACCAATGCTCTTTACAAGGTCATGGTGAAGCAAATCACAACATGGCTTGTAGGTATGATTTCTAGGGGGTGGCCCCTGACCTCATTGTATCCATCTGTGTCCATCAGAATTCAAACTGGTGATCTGTTTATTAGCAATTTAATTTTGTGTAATTCAGCCACATGGGCCGTGAGGTGGTGATTTTCTGAGAAGATCATCTCACCGTCTTATTGTCTCTTTTTTTTTGTTTTCTTCATGTATCCATTAGTTGGCCCCCTGCAATTGTAAGGGGCCAATGATGTTTCAATTTTCAAATATTATATTAGGCTCTTCCAATCTGAGCAGAAAAGAATGAATCTGAAAGTATCCGAAAAAAGGAGAAAGAGGAGGAGGAGGAGGGGCTGGCTTGCACATGAACGACTGGTCCAGTCCAAAGGAACTGGACCAGCAGTGGTACCACTCCAGTCATGCAGGGAACTGGACCAGACCGGGTTCCAGGTACCAGCGGGTATGTGGTCCAGTCGCCTGTACCTGGTCCAAGCACAAGGGGAACTGGATGGTGCTAACTGCTGTGGTACCTTTTCCTGTGGCTCGGACCAGGTAGCAACTGGCCTTCTGAAAACCCGTATCTTTTTGGCTGACATACTCTGGACTCTGAGGTCGAACTGTTCACTGCGCAAGTTTCAGTGGAACCTTTTTTGCATTTTGAGTTTTGGGTGCAACATTTTTGCTGACCGCAGTTTTTTTTTTTTGGTTTTGGAAACCCAGATGGCACTTTCCTGGGGTTATCCCTAAAGTACTATGTTGCTATGAAATCATAAATGTTATAAAGTCACATAAAACCTTTGAAGCTTAAAAATCAAAATACTGTAAACGAGGCGCAAATTATAAAGGTTTACAGCTGCAAATTCTAGAGGCATACCGCTTCAATAAGAGGTTTGCAGGTGCAAAAAACTGTAGAGCATGCTCCGTCTCCTTTCCTGTATCAGCATGACACAGTCGTGACCGGGAGAGATGGGCAATCTGCATCCAGAGGTTGAAGTACTGGATGCTTTCCTGCTTAAACCGCCAGTACATGGGCACCTGAGGGAGCGGGCCTGACACCGCACGCACCGGAGGCCCGAAACGCGATGGCGCTCATTGACGACTTTCTTCGATGGCTCACGCCGGCCCAGAAAGTTGCTCTGAGACTTTCTTGTGGCGACAAAATTTTCCTGCAAGGCTGGGGCCGTGTACTGGCGGTTTAAGGAAAAGTAGGATATGAACCATGCATAATTTTTGGCCCAGATAGGAGCATCACTGAACTGGAATTCTACCCCGGAGAGTGGTGCTGGACTCAGAAGGGAAAAAAAAACCCTAGGAAAACCCAACTACACAGGTAAACCTGCAGATGAATTAGGACAGTGAATGAAAGACCCTGCACCAGGAATCAACAACAGTGGCAAAGCATCCTGAACCAGAACTCGTCAGAGAGGAATGATATCCGATGGACCAAACATAAAGCTCTGCGGCGAGCTAAAATATTTGCAGAAAGCAATGGCTTATAGCTTATGCAGCCCTCCCTGTCAATCAATGGATCCTACGTCCAACGAAAACCATCCGACTCCAACAGTACTGAGTTATGCATAATGTGCTCGGATAATCTAAGCGCGGACATAATCCACCGCTTGCTGACTTGCACGGAAGCGACCTGTTTATGGGACAAACAAATGGGCTATGGTTCTCCCTATCCCCTCACCTCCTCCGCCCCCCCGAAAAATAAAAATAAAAAAAAGCTTATTATCTTCCTCATTCTGCTATCGATTAAGCTCCCCCTTTCCTTGCCAAAAGCAAGACAGAAACATACTTTCTTGAAGTTTCTTCTGATCAGACAATCCACCCTATGGACTATCTGGAAAAGGAGGTGCTCCCAGGTCATCGATAATCAGGTGGTGGAAAACGAGGCGGCAGCTTGGTCACAACTGATTGGTTTGGTGGCAACAGAGATTCCATGCAGGTGACAAAGGACACTGCCGTCTTCACCCAGATAGAACGCCCGGTCATTAGCACTGCATCTGAAGTGAAAGTTGTGCCAAATACAGATAGAATGACCGGGCGTTCTATTCGGGTGAAGACGGTAGCCAAGGACAAGCCAGACAAGTTCACAGCAAGGAGAGGAGAGGAGCTTTTGCTAAGAGCTTGTTACTCTGGGGGAAGATGGCAACGATGGAGAACAACCGATTGAGGTGGCCGAGATGGCACAGCCATACTCTGGGGTTACCCTTTCACCCCACAGCACAGCATGACTTCTCAAAGCAATGTGTCGAGGTTGAGGATGAAGGGGCTCTCCCCCAATCTTCAGTTGTCTCCCGGACGGCGGCCGGGGCCTTTGTCGCGTGACTGCAGAGTGACTGACGAGATCGCAACGATTCTTCGCAGTCACGTGAATCAGGCAGTCTAGAAATACGCAGAGACTGAGAGTCATAGAGTGCAAAGGCGGCCTGACATTCAATCGTCCCCGTGCTAGAATCAATTCCTACCAGGGGTCCTTCGACCTCAACAGAAGGAAGCTTGACTGCGTCACTGTATGCATTAATTCTTGACTTGCCAGGGAACAGGCACCGAACTGATGCTCCCCAGATTGGAGAAAGAGCCAGTCCTGCAAGCACCTGTTGTTGTTTTTTCTTTTTTTCGTTTGTTAAACTGAAAATACATACTATGGTTAGTCCTTCGGGACATCCGTTAAAAATGGAACAATACAGAGAAGATTAGCAGGGCCACTGCGCAAGGATGACACGCATAAATCGAAAAATATTAAAATAAATAAATAAATAAATATGAGTGATAGTCTACTTTGATTTTGGTTAAGGTAGATTATCATTTACAGTGTCATCAGTGAGGGGATTCTGCAGACTGTTGAGGGTTCAGCCTCCTGATGAGTCGGTGAAACTCCGACGAAACAGTTTGTCACAGCCCCTCGTTTGTTGTCCTCTTCTCTCTCTCTGCCTACGGTTTACCGGGCAGTTCTATTTGTGACGATATATATATCATCAAACCTATATCATAACACACTGCACATCGAACTGCGAACAAAGTCTGGAGGCAAGCTTGTCCGGATTAACACAAACAATTCACAGCCAACTCATAGACACAGGTGCCGAGGAGAGTTAGAGGGAAAAATTCACACAGACAATTCACATACAAGAACATCTTCAGTCACACAATTTGCCTCACCAGGATGGAGATGGAAGTAATGGAGCCTTACAATGTTCTAAGCCTCCACGAAGGTTAAGACTCAAGAGACAGGAAATCACTGATGGAGGTTTACAATATTGCGAACCTCGTGAAGCTTATGACGGAAAGGGTCTTTGGTGTCGAAATGAAATGAAGAATTATGCTCAAGAAACAAGGAAAAAAAATAAAGGGAAAACATCTGAGTGGGGATCCGGGCCGCCCGGGTGACCAGCAGGGGCCCGGGGGAGGTCCCGGGCGGCCTGGCCGGGCGGGGCACCCGGTTTGGGGCCGGGCCC